ATTCAGTAAAATAACTATTATCAGCATTGTGGTTGGTGCGAGCCAAGTGCTGCATTGTACGACTAGTCGATGCTGAGATTCGAATCTGGGTTACCTCATTGGGAAGAAAAAGCTCTGTCTGTAAAACCATATTAATTAGTGAAAAATAATTGGTGTAATAATTGGTGAAAAATAAGAGCAAGTATAGAAAATAATTGTAAAATGGTTTTAAATAGAATAGAGTTATCGTATGCTTAGCAAAACTGCGTGGCATAAATTAGAATTTGAACTAACGGTTTTAATCCGTTTATAATTAGGATGAAAAACAAAGAAAAATTGTTTTGTCAGCATAACAGCTTTAAATATATAGAGAAAGTCAGTAAAAAAGAAATAAAACGGGACTTTTTAATAGTGTACATAAGTGATTTAAAATTTTGAAGTGCGGAAAAAATGAGCTCAGATAAACCTAGAATATAAAGTTTCAAATTCTAAAAAAAATTTCAAAATATCTTAACCGAAATAAATTATGACAGGATTCCTTCCCACTCTGTGTAATCCAGCCGTAGTTTATTTGCGTTTTGTTATTTTGAAAACAATTTTTCAGCATTTGAAACTTCATGATTTACTTTATGTTTACCTGAATTCACTTTTCTTTAAATTTTAAAATATCAAGAAAGAAAACAGAATTGGCCATGAAAAATTTCTGCCATGGTATAGCGACCTCATAAGTTAACAGTTGTGAAATGATTTGGAAACACAAATGTTTACAAAAAATGATTCGAAGATATTATTATACGTTTATGAAATGTTCTGTACGGAAATATTTTTATGCGCTTTAAATGTTGTTATGCTCCTGATTTTTTTTACAGTTTAAAAAATTCCCTTATATCGAGTTTATTTCCTTATTTAAAAAAATCTATATTGAAATAGAATTTTTGAGCAGGTTTTTACTTGTTTGAATATTTAAATAAGTATTACTAATACGTAAGGCAGCAGGCCTTATTAATAGAAATCAGTTTAAAACTTTTTTTTTGCTCTAAAATGATTAGAACACCCTTCTTAAATTAATTAAAAAATATTTTAACTATCATTGATGAATTAACTTCCTATTACTGTTCAAAATTATGAGTGAACATATTACATAACATTTAAAGTATATTTATTTAATGTCAATCATAACTGGTAAAAATTGCAGTTTTTCTATTTTAACTATTTGTAAAATCTACTGGATTTTTTTCCTATACATGTTGGAAGCTATGGGTATGTAAATAGCTTGAATTGTTAGGTATCTTGAAACTTTTTGTTCCTTTCCAACTTTCATGCTTGTTCTGAGTGGGCTAAGGAAATTTGAACTGTGCAAGAATTGCATAATCTCGAAATATGGAAATAACCATTGAAGAAGCTGCTTATGAATCAGAAGAAGGCTTGAACTTGTTTTGTTTATTAATGCTATTCTGAGAGGTGGATGATTAAAAAATCCTTTAAACAGCGCCAAACGTGTAAAAATAACACTACTCAATCTCATCTCTTGCGTTATTTTTTTATATGCAATTTAAATTTTTTTAAAAAGATAAATCCTCCCTATTGAATGACAGATGACATCTTTAATATTAATTTCATTGTTTGATGTCATCAAAATTGATTTTAAAACCTCGAGTCGGTGGGCCAGAGACTCTCCCAATACCTAGCCATAAACACAAAACCACTCTGTCTTCAAATAACAAAAAATTGGATAGAGGGAGCGGAAAGAATTATTTTTTTTTCCATCCTTTTTTTTCCGCCCAGAAGAAGATTAAAAACCTCCCGATAGTAATACAACGGCACTATGTCGATCGAAGCCCTTGCTTCCCTCTCCGCCCCGGTGTTTATGGGGCTGCCTTGTACCGGACGCTGTGCGGCCGCCTGAGTTGTTTACACAGCACTCGAAGATGCGGGCTTTCCTGCCAAGCCCGCGTTGAATATCAAGTTAGCTCTTCTTGCTTCTTTCCTTTCTGTCCATTCGTCTATTCCGTCTGCTCTTTGGCTGAATTTTTTTTCTTCTTTCTATTCTGTTTTTATGCCAAACGGGCGTTATTTTATTTTGAGATGCTTCTTATTGGAGGGGATGGTATTTTATCCGCCAAAAATCTCATCTTCTTCACTTTAGATCTTCTAAAAACAATTGAGAAGTCTATTTCGGTGGTCAGGCTTAATACTTTTTAGAGCAATAATATTTCTGCTTAAGAAATACTTTATCCCTGTTATGATTGTTATTTTTTTTTTATTTGAAAATGGTTCCCAGTGTTTGAAAAAGAAAGATAAAGCGACCTTTTTTGTTTGATATCATCCACTTATTGTTTTTAATATCATTATTATATAAGTTTTTTTCGTAAATTGGTCAGAACACAAACAAGTAATTAAAAAGAGACACAATTGCATATTTAATTATGTACACAAATGTAATGAAAAATATTAATATATAAACTTATGCTTCATTTTTCAAACTGTTTGGAAGTTTTTTATTAAAATGTACTTCAATAAAATGTGTAAATACAATATTATTATTGACCTAACTGCTGATTTAATTTGTTTTTGTTGATTAATGGACCATAACTTATTGTTTTTTAATAACAAGCACTTTAATACTTTCGCCAACGGTTATGTGATTTCTAAATTGAGCTTTAAGATATGATAGATTGAATGAGATAACATCATAATTGTTTTTTTGCATATTCAAAGAGATAGGTCATGCATAAGGGTTGTTTTTTTTATCAGCATCGACAATCTGTTCTTTAGTCATTCAAGAACTTTCAAAAAAACCCTCATTGATCTATTTGTGTCATCGCGACCTCAGTTCCCGCCTGCTGTTTACAACATATTAGAAAATGATAACTTCTATATCTATATTTCAAACGTTCCGCCAATCCATCTGGACACTTTTTTTTTCTAATATCTTACTAATGAAGTCTGTACATATCTCNTATATATATATACACGTTTATTTTAATTGCTTAGTTATACACTAAATCATCACGTTTCTTAAGTTGCAACCATTCATTTGTATTTTTTACATTGAAAATTTTAACTATCATGTAGGCAATTTATGTAGGTCGTATTTTTAAATTATCTCTATTTCATTAATATAAAATCTCAAAAAATTATTATTTTTTTATTAGTATACAAGATGATCCGTAAGAACCACCCTTAATGTATATTTTTAATATCTTCCTCAAAAACAAGGGCAAAAAGTACACAGATTTTAAGTCTTAAATTAATGTTGAAGCGAATTAAAACCAAAAATACTATCGAAATCTTACAAATCACGATATAAGGAAGGCATGTGTACTGTTTGTACATCAAAACCTGTTTCGTTGATTTCAGGTTGAAATTTAAAGTGTTTTGGATACTCTTTTCAACTCTACTGTGTTTCCTACTGCAATCATATTGGTTTTAATGTTTTGTTCTTAACTATAATTAATCAGATTTTGATTGTTGGTTTTATTTTTCCAGACTTAAATATTAAATTGCTACTGCTCCCTATGCCCATACTTTTACATCTCCATTTGTGATATGAATTCTAATTGTATACATTAAAGGCAATTTTTGCGGAACGTCTTGTATCTTTCTTCATGTTGATTAATTAAAAATATTCTTAATATTTATCAATTGTATGATCTATTTCTTGATTAGTTTTAGTAGAGAATAATGGAGATATAATAATTCTTACTACGCTTTCAAAGAATAATTTATTCAAACATTTAAAAGAGTGGAATTGAATTAAATTCTTGGTAGACCTCATTACCAATTTAAAATTATTAATTTTACCTATGATTCAGTTCGACTATCTCTTTTACAAAATAATCCAAATCAATTTAAAAACGCTTTATGAATTCCAAATGAATAAACTTTAGTTAATCATAATTAGCTCCTCCAAAAGCTTTATTAACGTCTAGTTTTAGGCTAACTCTTTCCTTTTAGGAGTATTATGGGAAAACTTTTTCTGGAAGCAAAAATCTGTAATTTGACAAAAATTAAAAAAAAAGAAAAATTTTACTGATATGTTGTATGTTTTGGAAACGTATCGATTAATTACATTTGAATTAGGAAACTATTTAAAAAATTCCTCTATTAATTGCATCGCTTGATTAACCTTTTGACGTAAAATTATTATTAAACATATTTTTTCATACTTTTTCCAAACAATAATTTTTCAAATTTGCAGTTATTTAGGTCTAAGAGAAATAATTATTCATCATTTAAATTTCTTTAATTTACAAAATCAATTATTGAAATGTTTGAATATGAATGGGAAATAAATGTCAAACTACCTTTTTTGGATTATATATTTCAGTACAAATATAATTCCGATAATATAACAGATTTTTTTAGTAACTATTAGACTGTTTTTTATAATTAAAAAATACCAAAATATATTCCTGCTCGTTATTAGAGCATCAGAAATAAAATGTATAAAAAATGCCCATCTGTGTTAAAAGAATACGAGAATTATAAGGAATACAAATTTTTTTACTGTCCAATTTTGAATTCCAGAAAATATAAAACTCACTTAAGTAACTTTTTAAAATCAATATCTAGAAACTTTAATAAGTACTTTATCAAATGTGAAATTAAAAAGCTTTACAGTTATTTTCTAATAAAAACAAGTAAAAAATGGGAACATACTTTGGTTTAAATTGCAGACAAATTTATAGAGGTATATGTGGATGTTTTGGATTGAAATATTTTTTTTTTTTAAAAAGTAAGCGCAGAATCTGTGAAATGAATTTTTTTTTAATTTTATTTATATTTTTTCTTTTACATGATACATTTCAAGTAAAACTACCACGATTTCCAAATTGTTTTTTATATTTTGTCGCAATTATTTTAAAATACGACTGAGAGGAACATAAGTGAAAATTACGCTTTTAACAACTATTTAAAATTTTATATTTTTGTAACATTAAATTGTATTTTTGACATTGTTATTTGAAAATATACAGTTCTTTTGTTACAAATGTTTTTTATTTTTTTCCAATACTCAGATTCTTATCAAGGACGTGGACCAGGACGATATGATTCAAATCGTGGTCATAGTTCAAGTCACTCATCTTACGGGTAAGTATTTCTTTCCTAATTTTTCTAATTTATTTTGTTTACGTATACACTTCGGTACACAGGATGTTTCAAATTTCGGCTGCCAAAGATTAAAACTTACGCATAGACATGGTCACAAATCACGTTTCAATAACTTCAACAAAGACAAAACTACAAACTTGCTAACTACAAAATGAATTATTTAATTTTTACTAGAATTGTCCGAAGTCGCTGTCGTCATTACTCATACTACAACGACATAAAAATGATTCTTAAATGCGCTTGAAGATGCCAGGAGTGTTACTGATGTTTGCCGAAAGCACGACAATCCTATGCTATGACGTTATGAGATTCTTCAATGTGTCTACAGGCGTCACATTAACTAGTGATTGATGACCCCATAAGAAAAAAAGACTCATATTTGGAGATACGTCAAACACTTCAATTCGATAAAAATTTCTTTATGTTAAAACTGCTAATATTTAATAGCATTAAGATTTTACTAAAACTTTTTGAAACAAATGTTTAATAATAACAAATTGAATTAACTAAGGAAAAATTAAAGGAGATTATATTTTTAGCTTATGTAAAAAATCTTGTTATGTAGAAAATGTTTAGTTACAATAGTAATATACAGTTATACTCTCGATATCTGGAACTTTTTTATTCAAAGAAATATTTTCTCCCTTGACATTATATATCCACCTAATGTTAGTTTGAATTCCTATGTCGAAGGGTTTCTTCTCAAAACTTTGTTATTTCGAATTTTTATTACGAAATAGAAAAGCAATTTTTCGGAAAAATCACAATGTAAGTTTATTGTAAACCAATTCTTTTCTATTCAATGCATAATTATTTTTGTCTTACTTTTAAATATAAAATTTTCATTCTTGTATTTAGACTTATAGTCAACTATTATTACATACATTTTTATTTGTAGTTATTCTTATGTTTCATAACGCTACTTTTTAGAGTAATATTTTAGAATTTATTTTTCTACTTTGTGGCTGGGTGGCGCAGTTGGTTTGTCGTTGGCCTTCTGAGCCCAAGTCTGCGGGTTCGATCCCCGGCCCAGACACCGGATTTTCGGGATGCAGAAAATCCTCAGCGGCCATGTCGTATGATTATGCGGCATGTAAAAGATCCCTGGAGTGCCTTATTGGCTCTTGGCATTTCCGGCAAAATTAAATTCCTAGTGCACTTTAGCATCCAAATAGAGTCTCGGTGCTGCCATCTAGTGTGGCAGAAACTAGACGTCCAAATTAACATGACCAACGGTATCTCACCCATTGTGGTGGTCCTGAAAGAGTGGATACCACCTCTGGAGAACGCACTAGGTCTGCTCATCGGCAAGACCGATTGTGCAGCTCATTGGAAATAAAAAATAAAAAAAAAATTTTAAAAAATTAAAAATAAATTTCTACTTTTCGGAACATATTTAGTTCTGAATTTATCTCAAAAACTGGTTATCTCGAAATTTTTTTTAGCGTCCCTTCAACTTTGAGAGTATACTTTGTTTAACTCTTTTTTATATAAAATATCTGTTCTGACTATGTTATTGTGTTTATTATTCTTGTATGGTTAGACAATTCTATCGTTTTACTTATAGACATAATAGACCCAGTAGTGGTCCTTATTGGGGTTCAGCACCACCACCACCACAAGGAGGAAGTGGTGCAGGTCATTGGGGTCCAATGCAACCTTCTATTCCTCCAAGGCCTTATCCACCTTCACATAGGCATGATGACAGAAGAGATCGAGACAGAAGGGTAATTTTATAATCTAATTATTTAAAACATAACTAATTTATTATTTTTTTAATTGAATTTATCTTGTTAATGTCTGTTATTAACTCTAACTAGGAATTTCTATTATGTAAGTATTGTAATTTTTCTATTTGTGTCAATTTGTAAACATGATTAGTTCTCTAAAATTGAAATTAATTCAATGAAACGTTTTGGTCAATGAAGTATAGTACATAGTTACAAAATTGTAAAATATTTTTTTGTGAAAAGAAATTGTGTCATGATTGGTTATAGATGAATTTTTATGAAGAATATATTTAATTACAAATAAGCACCAATAATCACGGTTAGCTTATTTCATCTTTGTGTTATGTTATATTTCGTAATTTTTTATAAGCGTTGAAAAAAAATTTTTATTAATAATATTAATATAATTTTATAATAAATAAATATATTTTATAATAAGTAAATAATAAAAATATAATTTTGCAATGAATAAAGCAATACCAATTATTGATACATTAGATTTTCCTGAACGAAAGCACTATCAATCATATGAAGATATGCAAAGTTTATTCAAAATGGGTAAATAAAACATAGCATAAAGCTAAAACAACTTTTAGTGATTATTGTTTATTTGTAACTAAATTTATAAGTTATTGTTCTTCATCTAACTATTTTCATTTCTAAGGATTCTCTGTTTACATATTAAGGGTAGTCATCAAAGAACACCACTCTCTATCGATAATGAATGTATATATTTTTTTCAGAGCTATCCTCCCTCAGGAAGAAGTTCCTATTCATCCGATGGACGATATTGAAACACATACTTGTAGGCCTCTCATTTTTTAGCACACATCTTATATGGACCACATTGATCATGTTCTCCACAATTTTGTATGATATGTATTCCATAAAGTGAATTGTTGTTTTTTTCTCTGTTACAAATATTTTAGCTATGAAATATAATAATTTGTATAGATTTCTTGTGAGGCTTATCTTGTATCAATGTGAAAAGATTCATTATCTACACATGTATTATTTTGCATATTTAACTGACCATCAGTGTGAGAAACTGTACCAGGTTTTTAAAATATGTTGTAATAAAAAAATTTGTTCAATTTGTGCTTATTTAATTTTACACTAAACCACAATGAAAGAGAAATTAATGTTAGCATTATAAGTATGCAAATTAAGACCTGTGTAATGGCCTCTTACTGTTTTGTGACAGTGGTATTTGCAGAGCTAGAAATGACATTAGGTTATATGTATTCATCGTTGAACAGCCGACTCAATTCTGGGTTTACGGCTACTAATGTTCAATTCCGTATCCTTATAATTTTGCACCCATTCCAGAAAACAAGGGAACTTCTGGAGCAAGTATTGGGGAAAATGTGCTTTCGTGGAGAACTTTTTGATCGAACTAACCCTAACCAGCAGTTGCGTTACGTAGAGGAAAAGGTACTCTAACTAATGATTGTGAAAAAGTTCGATTGATTCTAACACAAAATTTTGGCTGATGCCTTTACAATTATGGAATGTAAGAAGCACAAAAGTAAAAATGCTTTCAATCGAGAAGAAAATTATCCGATGTGCGTGTAGAATATTCATTGGCAGTACTCGTATACCGAATCTGGTTTGCAAAATTTCGATAAATAAGATTGCTGAGAAAATAAATTTATCGAATTCTACCGTTCATAATTATTTGAGATGGGTTCCTCGTGTTCTCACTGAAAGAGATTAGAGTAGATGTCTGTGATTTGCTTCTCAAGCGTCAAAGAAAAAAAATGAGTTGTCTACAACAACGACAAATTGGTTATCTACCACAATGTTTCAGTCTCTACAAACAAAAATTTGATGGTAAAACCTTTACTTTAAATTAGATCAAAACTCATCTGACTCAGTTTCTGGAACAAAACTTTTATCTGCGTGGTATCATGCTACAACCTGAAAGATGGCAAAAGGTATTGAGTCAGAATGGACAATAAATTATTTTACAAAATCTATGTTTTTATTCCTTAAAAATTAGTAACCACATTATTTTAACCCCGTCTTTCCATATTCCTATTAAATTTCGATGAAGATGCAGATAGCCCCTGGGCTAGGTACTCCGTACCCAGATTTTAAATTGGCAATTTTATAACCGTCGTTGAACATCTGGCCTAATTTAGAGTTTACGGCTACCAATGCTCAATTCTGTAGCCTTTTAATTTTGAATCCAATTCAAAAGACAAAGAAACTCGAGGATCAAGTATTGGGAGAAATTTGCTTTCATGGAGGACTTTTTGATGGAACTTACGCAGATTTGCGTTACTTGGAGAGGAAAACCTCCCACGGTGAGCCTGATGACAAGGGGGTTCTAACCCATGATCCTTCTACCACTGAGAATATTTTACGTCAGTGCGAGCTGGGGGGGCGGAATTCGTATCGGCCAGCCATGGCTGGGATTCAAACCCGGTTCCATTGGGAGGCGAACCTATCATTCCCTATGCCATCACGGCTCTAAATTGGCAATTGATATTTTAAAAAATACTGCATTATGTATTTTTAATCGAATTAGTGAAAAGGTTTAAACCAAGCGAAAGCTAAAACCCATGGTTATTTTATGTATAGGACCTATGGGTATTGGTTACCGATCCAATAGGTTAGAGGAAAAAGTGGCTACTAAGTTATTAGACTCACTGGCCATTGGCTACTGACTTGAAAATTTGAATTTTGCAGTTTTGCTTCAGATACTTCTTGTTGTATACCTGTCTATACTTTCTTACCTCTTTTTTTTAAAAAAAGAAAAGGCTCGGTGAAAAAGAATACACACACAATTTCACAACCACTACAAATAAGAGAAATTAGACATACACAGTTGAGGACTTAATTTCAAATTCAATATAAGCCTTTTTTCAGAAATTTTACATGAAGGAGTAAAATTATTTATCTTTTTTATATCCTTAGCCATCTAAATCACATTTCTTTAGTCATCTAAATTATATACCTTTAGCCATCTAAACTATACATCTTTAGCCATCTAAATTATATTATCTTTTGCCATCTATAATTATATATATTTAGCCATCTAAAACTATATATTTTTAGCCATCTAAATTATATAGCTTTAACCATCTTGATCCTCAATAAAAATTTTAAAAAAGCATTTTTGATTGTGCTTGCTGGTTACTCTGTGGTTGGTTGTTCCAATTCAATCGTTAAAAAAAAAAAAAAAAATTACTTTTCTTTTATATATTATTTTATTCATCCATTTTTGAAAATTGTCCAGTCACACGTTCAAACCAGTACAGTATATGTCAAAATAAAGAACTCTTATCAATGCAAATAAGATCTGTCTTTATAGGCATTCATGTTTAACAACATAATATTCAGCATGTCTTGTAGGCATTCGTGTTAACAACAAAATCAGTAGCATTCTTGCTTAACAACATTTTGGTTAAACACTTGCTAAATCACAAGTCTGCATTATAATGGCCAACTCAATAAACACAACAGAGTACTTGAAGTTAAATAAGCATTTATATTATAAATCTAGTTAAATTTTTTAAAAAATTATAAATAAACCAAATTGATAAAATCCTTTGAAGATTGTTTGCTACATTCTTATCTTTTGAAAGCATGTGAATAAAAATTTTCTGCACTTTATTTATAAGAACTAAAACAATAAAAACTTTCTTATAAAATTATAAATAAGCAAAAAAAGTACGGAAAATACAAATAGGAGCAAAATGCCTAATTAAGAAATCTTTCTGGATTTTGGGTCTATTTAGGTTTACGCATCAAACTAAAAATTTTGCACGAAATTATAAAATCCGTTTGAATGACGATAAATTCCATAAAAGAAATAACTTAGTAAATATTTATTGGTATTTTATTTATTAATATTCGAAAAAAATTGAGTTGTAAGGTATGCAATTTTTAACATCATTTTAAAGAACGTAATTTTCCATTCAAAATTGGCAGAATCGGTCGAATAGTTCCGGAGAAATTAAATTTTAAAAATACAACTTCTTTAAAATTCGATTTCTGAGGAACTATTTGACCGATTTCGGTCAAGTTTCGGATTTTGCTATGTAAAATTACATTCCTTCAAAGTGTAAAAAATTGTATACCATATATAATTTAAAAAAATTTTTGACCACTATTAGTAAATAAAATGTAATAAATATTTATGTTATTTTTTATATGGAATTTATGTTTGGCTAAACAAATCTTATAAAAATTTTCAATTCAGTTAAAAAGTTCTAACGATATGGCGAAATACGCAAAAATTAACATTAAGGGGTCCAAATTTTAGTCCTCTCTTCTGACCAAACTATTGGGACCATATTTTCCAAATTGAGACTTCCCCCCATTCACGATTCTTTTTCTTTTTTTTGCCAATTGTACGCATACGCATACAACCGTTTACTGATTTCAATAAATCTGAAGTTTGTTTTAGTGAACTCTCCTATGAATATAATTTTTTAAACCCATTTTCGGCTACAGGTGCATAAACGCATTCAATAAAAAAAATTTATTAACACTGTGACAAATATTTTTCACTAATTTTACTTTATTTGTTTGTCTTTTTATTTCATTATAATTATTTTTTTTTTTTTTTTTTTTTTTTTTTTTTTTTTTNTTGCTACTGCCAAGAATTCTGAAGAATTAGATCTAATATTCTGCCAAATATTAACAATTCAATTGGAGTACACGCTTTCTGTAGAGAAATTTGCATACTAGTTTTAAAGTTCAGCTTTATTTAAATTAAACTAAAATTTAAATTTTACAACTAGTTTAATTGGTTATTGACTAATTCGACTTTTTGAAAATGTATAATTGTTCTGTTTGAAGTTAATCATTTGTTTTTATCATGGATTAAAGCTGTTAGTCCTGTAAGTAAAATGAAAATAAAACAATTGTCATAAACTAGTGTTCAACTAAATGATTTGGCCAATGGGCCATATACGCACCATTTTATTTCATTGTCAACCATTATTTTTCATGCACGAAACTATTTTTGTGTCTTAATGAATGCAATTTAAGCATATTTTAATTAAAATTTTATGATTGACCTAAAAAGGGTTAGGCAAAGAAATATAAAGACTTAACTAGATCAGTAACTTAACTGTTACGCGTCAGGCAGTCACAAAAACAATAGTGTTTCCGCTGGCAACGCCCTCTAAATAAACATTGGTTGTAGCTATTAATTAAACTTGTCACTATTTCTTGTTAGAACTGGATAAAGTCAAATTATGAAATATTTACTTTAAAATTCAAAGCATGATTTATCTTACATAAAATTTATTAGTGTCTTGAAGAAAAAATATCCCTCGAGAATTTAAAACCTAAATTATAATTTTTTTCATAAATTAGAAACGTTCTTAGTAATTAATCACTTTTATTTACTTTGCTAGTAATCTAATAGAATCAAGGAGGACATCTAAAGCTATGAAAAGAATTTGAAGTAAATGTTTTATTGAAAAATCTTTAGTGCATAAATAACGTATACAGTTTGTTAAGTTGTGTTCGCAGCGCCCCCTGGATTACTAGATTTGATATGCTACAACAGATTAAATTCAAGTAATGAACTATCCCGTATACTAACCGTTGTTACAATCGATGTAATACGTTTCATTGACCCTTGGTGGCACTGGGGATGCAGCGTTTGTCTTCCACTGAGATGAACCGGGTTCAAATCCCATCGAAGGCTGGTCAGTACGAATTCCTCACCCAGCTTGCACCGACCACTGTGCTGACGTAAAATATCTTAAGTTGTAGATGGATCCTGGGTTAGAGTCACCTTTCCGTTAAGCTAACCGTGATAGGTTTTCGTGGTTTTCTTCACCATGTAACGCAAACGTGGGTTAGCTCAAAAAGTCCTCTGCGTAGGAAACTTTCTCCCAATACTTAACCTAGGTGCTCCCTGGATTGGGTTCAAAATTACAAGGCTATGGAGTTGAACATTGGTAGTCGTGAACCCAAAATTGTGTTGGCTGTTCAACGACTGTTATAAAATTACACAATAAAATACATTTACTGCATAATTTAGTAACAGTATTTTTTATTGAGTATTTTTTAAAAAATTAAAGGAACGGCCAAACATGATATTTTATTGTTTAGATTGCACTGAATG